AGATAGATAGATAGATAGATAGATAGATAGATAGATAGATAGATAGATAGAGGATGGCAGACAGACAGAGAGGGGGAGAGAAAGGGGAGGCCAGGGGTACAGCGGGCAGAGAGGGGGAGGAGCAGACAGACAGAAAGCACGAGAGGAGGGGCAGACAGACAAAGAGAGTGAGAGAGACAGAGAGAGAGAAGGGCAGATAAAGAGAGAAAGGGTGAGGGAAAGAGGCGCAAGAGGAAAGGTGGTGACAGATGGGGGTGAGGAAAGGAGAGAGATATGTTTGGAAAGGGAGCAACAAGGCAGCATGGGGGAAGAATGAGAAGGATGGAAGCAATAGCATGAGGAGAGAGGGAGAAAAGGAGGGAGGAAAGGAAAGGAAAGAGCCAAGACAGATGAGATTTTAGTTTGGCAAATGATGATGGAAGTGTGGGGCAGTGGGATTAGGTTGGGTGATAAAGTCACTTACTACCCTCATCGGCACTCAGTAGATTTCTCCCCAATGACGGACCTCAACTGTAATCTCCCGGGAAGTGGGGGAACAGTCAGTAACATACCCACCTGCCCCACATCTTCAGACTTAGACACAGTAGCAGAGAAATTGTAAAAGGTCTGCCCAGGCAGACCCATTGTTCTAGCCTGCTCCTGCCCCATAGAATTAATCTCTTCCTACCTTGGCTCAGTCTTTTCTCCCTTGGTCTGTCTCTGCCCATGTACATCTGTGATTCCTCTGACATTTTACACCAGATTCAGAATTTCCAGTTTTCAGGCTCCAGCTGCTTTCTCTTTACCATGGACGTGCAATTCCTTTATATATCCATCCCCCACCAGGATGGCCTCAAGGCTCTCTGCTTCTTCCTGGAGCAAAGGCCTTAACTGTCCCCACGCTCCTCGGCTTGGCTGAGCTCATCCTCACCCTCAACAACTTCTCTTTTAACTCCTCTCATTTTCTTCAGGTCAGAGGGGTGACCATAGGTACTTGCATGGGCCCCAGTTATGCCTGTTTCTTCATGGGGTATGTGAAACATTCCTTATTCCAGTCCTATTCTGGCCTCCACCCACAACTCTTTCTTTGATATATTGATGATATCATTGGTGCTGCTTTCCTCTCTCGTCTGGAATTGGAAAAGTTCAATTTCATTTTCAATTTCCACCACACCCTCTCTTTCACCTGATCTATCTCTGATTCCTCCCTTCCCTTCCTCGACATCTCTGTTTCCATTTTGGGGGATAGATTGGCTTGAATCCTTCTTCCAATTGGTCTTGAGCACCGTCCCACCTATTTAACTTCCTCAGATTGGCTGGACGCATGGCGTCGATTGACAAAGCCACATTTACCCACCTCAAAGTGTTGTAATGACCAATCCCCAAAGTTCCCATCCACTCTATCCTTGCTCCGATTGGAGGAGCCACAGGTCCCACCCTCTCATTATTGTCCAGTGGCCCCAGATCAAGGAGCGATGCATTTGCCTATTGGATGCTCCACCTGTCCCTCTCCACCCTTTCATCAAATTCTATGGAGGAGGACGGTAGGGGGCCATGCTCGCCTCACAAGGGAATGGAAATCCACCTTCTCCAATAGTTACATGACTTCATGTAACCAGTATGTGAACTCCATCTCAATTCCACTTTCAACCTTCAAGTTGTCTAAAGAAAACAGACCTCACACTTATGTTGCAACACAGCAATATCCAAACATCTAATGTTCCCAGCTTATGCAACAAAAGAATGGTATTTGCATCAGCATTTTCCAATTTTCTCTTATTCATTCTGCATTTCACCATTTGCCATATATAATTTTTCACCTCTTTTTGTTCATCTCTTTGTAAAGAACAAAGATTAACATATGAATCTCAACAAAACCTGGATAGTGAATGGCCCAAGGAAGAACTGGGGAAATTGGATAAATTTACTTTCTTTTTAAATGTCATGGATTGTTTGAAGACCTTATTTTCTCCCACATTCAGTCACGGAAGTGAAGAACTAACAAAGGAAGCAGTATAACATTTACATTTCAACCTTACCTCAGCAGAGAATGAGTTAACTTCATAATTCTTACTTTGAATCCCCACTAATTTGAGTGAATGAATTCACACTTTCATACCAATTACTCAAACAACGAGTAAAAGTACAGCACATCTTCCACGAGAAATATTTACTTCACTCAAAAAAACTGAATCACATGACAGAAACATTGCTGGTATGGCATGATATAATTATTAAATAACAATATCACTTGGCAGGCCACCAATATCAATAGCTTACATTTAATCAGCAGATGCTTAACACAATAAGACAGATTGTACAATTAATTGTCTGTCAGCACTATTCACAACTAGCTAGAACATTAATTAAATTACAGTTTAAATGAAAATCTGAGATTACTGCAGATTGTGAAGATTAATTGAGGAAAAAACGTTGAAGAATTTGATTAAACTGTTCAGTCATCTGATTGCCAAATATCGTTCATGAGAGTGAGAGTTTGTTCTGGTAATTGGCTAATCCATCAGGTGCCCATTATTTCCATTAAATGTTGTTTTCTCTGATGAGAAGTTAATCTTGTGCACACAGTATTCACAGGTCCAGCAGCAGGAATAACATAAGGACATGTAAACAGCCAGTGTACCCTGCTTTCTTCCTTGATCCTGCTGTGCCATTTGACCACTATCCCCATATCACTTAAATTGCTTTAAACATGTCAAAATCTATCTCTGTCTTGAACATACTCAATGACTCAGTTTCATTAATGACCAAGAAAAAAAAAAATTGTAAAAGTACACTTAACCTCTAACACATGGTGAAAACAAGCACATTAATTATTAACACAAATTTAAACTGTTTCCCATTTAAATCCAAACAGACAATGTAGGATTAGTATAAAAAGATGACTTTGCTTGTCAGTGCAGATTCAATGGGCTGAAAGGCCCCTTCTATACTGTGTCACACTCTGCCCACAGGGCACATGTCCATTCATATACTGAACGGGTAGATAGACAAGCATCTTTAGAGAAAACTTGTGGGTGGAGAATATAGGCACAAAAAAAGACAACATTTGCAGGTCAAAGTCTAAGCAGAAAGGGGCAGAATGAAACGATTGTTCTCAGCTTCTTTTGTTTTGAGTTTTAGTGATGGTATCACATTGTATCCGAGTACACTGGTTCTCAATTTGGTAGCAGGATCATTAGACCCCAGTCTTGACTGGAACTAGAAAATTTCTTCATTCGTGGATTGGCCATGCTAAATTGCCCCATTCTGTCCGGGAATTTACAGGCTATGTGGGCTAGCCATGGGAAATGTGAAGTTATGGTGATAAATGGGGAGTCTGGGTAGTACACTCTTCGGAGGGCCCAAAACGTCAGCCTTCCTGCTCCTCTGATGCTGCTTGGCCTGCTGTGTTCATCCAGCTCTACACGCTGTTATCTCATGGGCTGCATAGCCTCTTTTTGCACTGTCGGGACTCTATGATTCTATGACTCAGCCTCCTGTACCCCAGAGAACTGTGAATTTGAAACTTCATCTCCCACCGAGTGACAATAATCCTCCTCTTCTCAATCTGAAATGGCTTACTTCTTATGCTGATACAATCTTCCCCTCATTCTAGATGCCCAGGCCAAGAATATCATTCTTCTTGTATCTGTCCTATTGAGCATTGTAGGAATTTTTTACACCTTAAAGTCATCTCATTTGCAGACATTCCAGTCCCCTCAATCTCTCCTCAACAGAGAAACCCACCATCACACGAATCAGTCTGGTGAACCTTCATGACATTTCCTCTATGGCATATTTAGCTTTCCCTCTATAAGGATACCAAAACTGTAGACAACACTCCAGGTGGAGTCTCACCGAGGCTCTGTACAACAGCAGCCAGATTTCTTGTCTTCTGTTCTAAATGTTTTAATTCATCCAAAGTAGTATGGCCATTGCAGTCAGCTATTATTATGGTCCATCCGAATTGCCCTTGAGGACATGGTGGTGCGCTGTCTTCGTTAACCGCTACAGTCCATTTAGTGTAGCAACACCCAAAATACTACTTCTTTCTGATTATCTGCTTCAACAATTCTACAGCTATTATTTTCTAACTCTTTTCAGATGATTAATTTGTAATTTCTGAGTTGTGATTATTTCAAGCCTTTCTTTAATGGACATGTTATCATTGGGAAGTAGGACAAATGATCTCTTTTTATAAATACCATGGATTGTTTGAAAACCTTACCTCCTGTCACCCCAGGAGCGATCTAACACTGGCACATCTTTCCTATCTTTATTTTAGTTTGGTCATTGCTGATTACAACATATGCCTGTTTGCCTTTCCTTGATTTCTCATGTTTAACAAACACCGTGAAACTGTGCAATATTTTTACACCAGGGACAGCAGAATAAGTAACTGGTTGGTGTTCTGCCAGTGTATTTTTCCTTAAAGAGTTGTGTTAAAAAGTGCACACTGGCCTTGTGTCTATGCTGCTGTTTTTATTGAACTCCTGATGAATCACTCCCACATTCTCTGCCTGTGCAGTTGCATGGATCCACCAGCAGTGCGGCATCATATTACTTTAATCTCAAGGGACAGAAACAGGGAGAGGGGCTTTGATTCTGCTTCACTTCATCCCCATTACAAGGGGCAGCTGTTCCTTAAATACATTTATGGGATTTTGTGTGTCTGCCTGTATGTATGCCTGTAACTGTGAATGTTTCTGTGGCTCTTTGTGTCTAGGACTGTGTGACCAGCTGTGCCTGCAATAGACACATTGTGCTAAAGTGAAGTTTGAATGAATGAATTATATTCTGCCTTCATGCTTTCTTTCTGCATTAAAATAACTCCATCTTTGGGGTGTGGTTTAATTCAGTCTTGTCTCTAGTTTATCTGAATTCAGAATTGAATCCTTTAAGAAGGAACTCGCCTTGGAACCAGCCTGAAGGGGAATCCTCTACCTGGCCTGTATTCCCATAATTTTTGGTGGCAATGTCCCAGAGGGGCCAGGTCACCTAAAGGTAGAGACTATGCCTGGCCTGCCAGGTTCTACAGAACTCTGAGCCGCGGATGGAGGTCAGCTGGTGCAAGCAGCAAAGACCTCTCCCCTGTTCAGTCTCTTTTGCATTTGTTGCTGTCACAGTCCCTTCAATGCCAGGGAGGTAGAGGAAAGAAGGGGAATTGGCTGGAAACGATCACGCAATGAATAGTGAGGTTTATAATTTGAACCATTCAGACCGTCACACACAGTCGGGATCCCTGCAGTGTCTCCAGTTGTCCTCTTCCAATTGGACTAAACAGATTGTTCTTTAGCCTGAAACAGATTAAACAGGAACTAAGCCAATTCAACAAGCACTGTGAACAACATGGGAAACTGGAGTTAATATTTCAGCAACAAGCACAGAGAAATGTTAACTATAAATTTGACAGAATGCTTTTTAGATCTTCTTTATTTCGTAATCAAATAACACAAAGACTCACTGGATGAGCTCCAGATTCCTGCAGGCCTGGACTAGGCACTGGAGAGTGGGGACAGACCGGTCGGTTAAAGAGTTTGAATTCAGGGTCAGGAGTGTTAGTGACTGGTTCGTACTGAGAGCTGAGGAGAGATCCTCTATACAAGAATCTGTGATACCATTCATTTCAAGACTAGGGATCAGAGGGGAAAACAGTTATCAGATATTATTTTCACTGTTTATTAACCACCCAATTACTGACAGTCATGGTAACATCCAGTTATTATAAACAAAATTTCAGAGTGAAACTCACTTCAGTTTCTTTATTCCACAGTCCGGGTTGCTCAGAGCGACAGACAGCAGCTTCACTCCTGAATCCTGCAGGTTATTATTTCCCAGGCTCAGATCGATCAGTGATTCATTTGTAATGAGAGCAGATGAGAGTTCCTCTGTGCAAGAGTCTGTGAGACCGTTCTTGTCCAACCTGAGGATCAGAGAATGAAAAATAATGGGAATCTGGAGACATCCCACATTTTAATGACAATAATAACATGGTGTAAGATATTCAGGAGGCACAATTTCCACCCATTGAGAAGGAGATATATTTTCAGTGCTGAAAATCTGCCACATGAATTGAATATGCTGGGAATATCCAACAGATGACACAGAGACGTCGCTGAGCATTCTGAAAGAAGTCGGCAGAGTTACCACAACAGATCAGCAGGGTGAAGAAAAATAACCCTGCTGATTGGCAGCAGGAAGAGCACCCAATAGAGGATGCTGAGAGATTTCACTGAGCATTCTGGGAGAAGTCGACACAGTCATCATAACCATTCAGTAGAGTGAGAAAGAACTGTGCCATGGAATGGTAAGGCCCAAACATTACATTATTGTAGTGTTTCCATCCTTCTTTCCTCCTCTAACCAAAATAAGAGCACAGACATTGAGAGAGACTGATAGGAAGTGTGTTGTAGCCTATAGGTTATTTGGTCTGCTTATAAAGATTTCACTGTAATTTAAGGAACCAGTCAGTGCAGCTAGTTGGTATAAGTGCGGGCTTAACTGAATACAGGGCTTCATTGAGTGAGGCAGGCAAGATAAGATTCTTCTATCTTAGTGAAAAGAGACCGAGATGGCAGTTAGGGCAGTGGTGTGCTCCTCCTGCCAAATGTGGGAGACTCCAGGATGGTGTGTTTCCTCCCTGGTGCTAGGGTCAAGGACATCTCTGAGCAGTTGCACAAAATTCTTAAGGGGGAGGGTGAGCAGCCAAGAGGTCGTGGTGCACATTGGTACACATGAGATCCTGTGGAGTGAGTACAGGGAGTTAGGAAAGAGGCTGAAAAGCAGGACCTTGAGGGTAGTATTCTCTGGGTTACTATCTGTGCCTGTGCTAGTGAGGCAAGGAATAGAAATATGGATCAGATGAACACATGGCTAAGGAGCTGGTGCAGGGGGCAGGGTTTCAGGTTCTTGGGACCTCTTCTGGACAAGGGTGACCTGTACATGAGGGACGGATTGCAACTAAACTGGAAGGGAACCAATATCCTTGCAGGGAAGTTCGATAGTGCTACTTGGCAGGATTTAAACTAGAGTGGCAGGGGACTGGGAACAACAGCAGCAGGTCAGCAAGTAGAGGGATTGAGGGAAAGGTAGGTGTTAGGACCAGTAAGTCAGAAAGAAAGGACAGCCAGAGACTTGTAAATGTACACAATGGTGCGATGGGCTAAAGTGTGTTTATTTCAGAGCAAGGAGTATTAAAGGTAAGACAGATGAGCTTAGAGCCTGGATCAGTACATGGGACTATGATGTTGTGACCATTACAGAGATTTGGTCGAGACAGGGACAGGACTGGCTGCTTAACGTTCCATGGTTCTTTGTTTTAGATGAGATAGGGAGGAAGGTAAGAGAGGTGAAGAGTTGCATTACTAATCAGGGAGAATGTTCCATCTGCACTCAGAGGTCATGCTGGAGGGCTCATCCGCTGAGGCAATGTGGGTAGAGCTCAAAAAAAAAAGCTGGGTGCAATCATTCTGATTGGATTATACTATAGACCTCCCAATAGCACCAAGAGATTGAGGAACAAATATGTAGGCAGATTATGGAAAGGTACAATAAAAACAGAGTTGTCAGAGTGGGTGACTAACTTCCCCGGTATTGACTGAGACTCCCTTACAGCAAGAGGCTTAGACAGGGCGGAATTTGTTAAGTGCATTCAAGAGGGTTTCTTGAAACAGTATGTGCATAGTCCAACTAGAGGACGGGCCATACTGGACCTTGTATTGGCTAATGAGCCTGGCCAGGTGATTGACCATTCAGTGGGAGAATACTTTGGTAACAGTGATCACAACTCCTTAACTTTTAAGATAGCTATGAACAAGGATGAGTCAGGACCTTGTGGGAACGTAATTAAAATGGGAGAGGGCAAGTTACATCAGTATTAGGCAGGAGCTAGGGAGCGTTTATCAGGCAAGGCCATATTTGACATGTGGGAAGTGTTTAAAGACCTGCTGGGGAGAGTTCAAGACTGGGATGTTCCACGAAGGAGGAAGGACAAGGATGGCAAGGTAAGAGACCATTGGATACTGTGGGAGGTTGTGAATTTAGTCAAAAGGAAAAAAGAAGCACATGTAAGGTTTAGGAAGCTAAAATCGGACAGACGCCGTGAGGAACAGAAGGAAAGAAGGAAGTACTCAAGCAGGGAATTAGGAGAGCAAGAAGGGACCATGAAATGACCTTGGCAAGTAGGGTTAAAGAGAATCCCAAGGCATTCTACAGATACGTTAAAAATAAGAGGATAACTGGGGAGAAGGTAGGACCACTGAAAGTTAAGGAGGGAGGTTGCAGACTTGCTCGCCAAGCTGGTGTGTTTGGTTGCAGACGTTTCATCACTCTGCTAGGTAACATCGTCAGTGCGCCTCTGGTTTGGCTCGTACTATTATGGGTGTGTTGTCCCACTCAAACTTTTGTCCTTCTTTATCAGTGTGCATTGAGACCAGTCAGAGACAAGCAAGGGAATTTCTGGAGGCCTGGCATTCCAACTGGAAGTCCATCAACAAACACATTGAACTGGACCCGATACACAAATCACTAAAAAACAGATCTGGAAGAAATGCCAACCACCCCTGCGAACCGAGGAATAAAAATTATAAGCAGGTCAGAACACCAACGCTTCACCGGTAATGCACTGACGATGTTACCTAGCAGAGTGATGAACCAAACACACCAACTTGGCGAGCAAGTCTACAACCTCATCCACAACTCCAGCTACAAATCTTCTCAAAAACTGTAAGGGAGGGAACTTGTGCTTGGAGGTAAAGAACCGGGGTAAGATCCTAAATGTGTACTTTGCATTGGTATTCACTCAGGAAAAGGATTTGGAGGATAGTGAGATATGTGTGGAGCATGCTAATATGCTAGGGCATTTTGAGATCAAGAAACAATTGGTGTTGGATCTCTTGAAGAGTATTAAGATGGATAAGTCCACAGGGCCCGATGGTATCAACCTCAGGTTTTGAGAGAAGCAAGAGAGGAGATTGCTGGAGTCTTGACCAAGATCTTTGTATCCTTGCTAGCCACTGGAGAGGTCCTGCAAGACTGGTGAGAAGCTAATGCTTTTCCTCGGTTCAAGAAGTGAAATAGGGATAATCCAGGAAACTAGTCTAACGTCAGTGGTTAGATGGTTATTGGACAGAATTCTTAGGGATAGGATTTACACACATTTGGAAAAGCAAGGCCTAATTAGGGACAGTCAGCATGACTTTGTGCAGGGCAGGTCACGTTTTACTAACTTGATTGAATTTTTCAAGAAGGTGACGAAGGTGATCAATGAGGTTAGAGCAGTGGAAGTTGTTTACGTGGATTTTAGTAAGGCTTTCGACAAGTTCCCTCGTGGTAGGTTCATCCAGAAGGTTAAGATGCATGGGGATCCTCGGTGACTTGGCCGCATAGATTCAGAATTGGCTTGCCCATAGAAGACAGAGGGTATTGGTGGAAGGGTGTTTCTCAGGCTGGAGGTCCGTGACTAATGGTATTCTGCAGGAATCCGTACTGGGTCCTCTGCTGTTTGTCATATATGTAAATGACTTAGATGAAAATGTAGATGGGTAGGTTAGTAAGTTTACATACGATACAAAGATCGGTAGAGTTATGGAAAGTGTAGGATTTTGTCAAAGGATAGCGCAGGATATAGCTCAGTTGTACTTATGGGCGGAGAAATGGCAGATAGAGTTTAATCTGGGTAAGTGTGAGGTGCTACACTTTGGGAGATCAAATGTTAAGGAAAAGTGTACAGTTAATGGCAGGACCCTGAACAACATTGATGTACAGAAGGATATTGGGGGTTCAAGTCCATAGCTCCCTTAAAGTGGCCACGCAAGTAGACAAGATGATAAAGAAGGCGGATGGCAAGCTTGCCTTTATTAGTTGGGCACTGAGTACAAGAGTCAGGATGTTATGTTGCACCTTTATAAGGCTTTGGTTAGGCCACATTTAGAGTATTGCATTCAATTCTGGTCACCACAATACTGGAAGGATCATAGAATCCCTGCAGTGTGGAAACAGGCCCTTCGGCCCAACAAGTCCACACCGACCCTCACAGACATCCCTGAACACGAAGGGCAATTTAGCATGGCCAATCCACCTAGCCTGCACAATTTTGGACTGTGGGAGGAAACCGGAGCACCCAGAGGAAACCCAAGCAGACACGGAGAGAATGTGCAAACTCCACATAGACAGTTGCCCGAGGGTGGAATCAAACCCGGGTCCCTGCCGCTGTGAGGCAGCAGTGCTAACCACGGAGCCACTGTGCCGCTTTGGGTGATGTGGAGGCTTTGATGAGGGTGCAGAACAGGTTTACGAGGGTGCAGAACAGGTTTACCGGGATGCTGCCCAGATTACAGGGTATGAGCTATAAGGAGACGCTAGAAAAACTCAGGTTGTTTTCTCTTGAGCAGTGCAGGCTGAAGGGAGACTTGATAGAAGTCTATAAAGTTATGAGATGCATAGATAGGGTTGACGGTCAGAATCTTTTTCCCAGAGTTGAAATGTCTAATACTAGGGACATGCATTTAAAAGTTAGAGGGGGAACATTCAAAGGAGATATGAGGGGCAAGTTTTTTTTTTTTTTTTTTACACAGAGTGATAGGAGTCTGGAACACACATCCACGATGGTGGAGGAGGCAGATACAATAGCAGCATTTAAGGTGCTTATAGATAAGCACACGAATATGCAAGGAATGGAGAGACATGGACCAATGGCAGGTAGAAGGGATTAGTTTCGTTTGGTGTCATGTTTGGCTCAACACTGTGGGACGAAGGGCTCGTCCCTGTGCTGTACAGTTGTACATTCTAAATACTCAGCAGGTCTGACAGCATCTGAAAAAAGGAAATAAAAAGAGTTCACATTTCTTTCTGATGAATTTTAATTAGCACTTGGAGAAAGCAGCCAATTAATATATTGTAAGCAACAAGCTGGGAGAGACAAAAAATTAAAAACCAGAATGGAGTTCTGATGAAATCCATTTTCTGTGTCAAATTCTGCTGTGTGGATTTACAGCTGTGGAGATTGTAACGCTGAGGACACAGTATGTTCCAACAAATTGTGCAAGTGTTTAATTGTCTTCCGTCTTCCCATTCTGATCCTTGTTTTTTTTGTTTGAGAATAACTTGAGATTTTTATTTAAAAGGATTCACTGCCCAATCGTGTGATTTATTGTGGTTCAGACCAGTCCGTAAGTGGTTTGTACTGAGAGGGGCGTTCAGACTAAATAAGGCTGTTATTTTCCGGCCTGAAGACCACAGAGAGAAATTACAAGAATCGGAGTAAATCCTTGGCATTTGTTTATAACACTGAGCTGATCGTAATGATAATGTGCAGTCTTGATTTGATAACACTGCTCCAGATACTAATAATAATGTATAATTTCAGGCACCCAGTTATTACAAATACCATGTAAAAGAGCCTGGTACTCACCGCAGTGACTGTATTTTACAGTCTGGATTCTTCAGAGCCACAGATAATAGTTTCACTCCCACATCTCCCAGCCCATTATGACCCAGGTCCAGAAGTGTCAAGGACTGGTTTGCAACGAGAGCAGCAGCGAGATCTTCAGCACAAGAAGCGGTGAGATCATTAATGCCCAGTCTGGAGATCAGAAAGAAAGGTGAGAGAGAACAATGGAAATGTGGATAAAATGTAGCAGGACTGAACTTAGACATGGACCCGGGTTGCAGAATACGAAGCGGTGCTTCAGTCAGCTGTGACATGGATCAACTTCAATAGGTGTGAATATTGGGTGTTCCTATAACCAGCAGCAGACATGGTCTTGTCTGTTTTGTATCCCTGCCCACATCCAATTTCTCTCCCTATATTTTAATATTTATGCCATTACTGAAATGCAAAACAATGAATACTGTTTTTTTAACAACGTGGAACTAATAATAACTGGATAAATTATCAGGTATCCAGATATTATAAACAAAGGCTGGTACTTACTTCAGTTCCTGTATTTTACAGTCTGGATTCCTCAAGGCTGCACACAGTAGTTTCACTCCTGAATCTTGGAGATTATTGAGAGTCAATCTAAAAGTAGAACAAGAAACACTTTAGAACAGCCAGAATTTTCTGAAAAAAAAACAACAGGAGCCTGGTTTATTTCTGGGTGAGAAGTCCATCTGTGATGGGATATGGATTAAAGTCAGGATTTTTTTCCCTGGTGATGTTATTAATTGGCTTTGAGACATTGGGTTCATTGCCAGCGGTGGTGAAGATGCAGACGGATCAGATGAAACGTGGGCTTATTGACAGTCTTGTGGCAGCTATCCACTGTCTCTCTGCAGGACCAATTCACCTACTTCACACAAAATGTCACTTCCGTCCTATCACAAAATTGAAACGTCCCTGTTCTCCTGGTTTAATTCGAGGAACGGTGTCTCCCACCTTATGCTCCATTAAACAGGCTCTGTATTTACAGCAGGCACAACTACGGTCATATTTCAAAGGCATTACCCGGGATTCCCTACTCTTGGTGGATCTACATTTAATGTAGATCATTGGGAGCAATATTAAAGAATTACTGCAATAATGGTTGGTTCCATATTTTTCTAAATTGAAGAAATGTCACTGCTCCAACCAAAAGGATAGATCAGGGTACTTTCTACGGAGTATGAAGTGAAATACAGCGGATGTCCAAACAGACTTGGGGATTCAGGTGCATGGATATCTAAAATGTCACAAACAGATGCAGAAAATAGTCAAGCAAACTAATGGAATGCTGGCCTTTGTAACTAAAGGATGGAGTACAAGGACACAAAGGTTATACTGCATCTATTTAAAATCTTGGTTAGACCCCACTTGGAGTACAGAGAGCAGATCTGGGCACCACACGTTAAGAAAGTATATAGTGGCCTTGGAGTGAGTACAATTTAGGTTTAGAAGAATGATACATGGACTTTAGTTGTTATAAGAAGAGACTGTACAAATTATGCCTGTTTTCTCTCGAACTTAGGCGAAAGGGTGACCTGATCGAAGTCTTCATGGTATTAACAGGAAAAGGCAGGGTAGATAAAAATAAATTATTCCCACTGGTTCGGGATTCTAGAACTAGGGAACATAGTCTAGGAATTAGAACCAGACTGTCCAGGACAGATCTTAGGAAGCACTTCTATTCATGAAAGGTGATTGACATTTGGAACTCTCTTCATAAAGGCAGTGGACACTGGATCTGTTGTTAAGTTTAAATGAGATAGAGAATTTCTTTGCTTAACAAAAATTTAAGGGATATGGGCCAAAGGCAGGTACATGGAGTTAGGCCACAGATTAGCCACAATCTCTTTCAATGGCTGAACAGGCACAATGGGCTGAATGGCCTTTTCCCATGTTCTAAACCATTGGATTATATGTAATAACATATAGGACTTATTTTCTCTGTGTGTTGCGTACAGTTCACGGTTGATTTGGTAATGTATTCACATTTAAAGAAGGATACTTTTTACCTGCAATAGTATTTGATATAGAACATAGAACAGTACAGCGCAGTACAGGCCCTGTACCGAACTTTTACCCGAAACCTAAGGTCTATCTAACCTCTACCCCTAACCTTATACTATCATCCATATGCCTGTCTAATAGCCGCTTAAATGTCCCTAATGAAGCCGACTCCACTACCCTCTCCAGCAATGCATTCCACGCCCCTACCACTCTGAGTAAAGAACCTACCTCTGACGTCTCCCCAATATCTACCTCCACTCACTTTAAAACTATGCCCCCTCGCAATAGCTACCTCCACCCTAGGAAAAAGTCTCTGGCTGTCCACTCTATCTATACCTCTGATCATTTTGTACACCTCTATCAAGTCACCTCACATCCTTCATCATTCTAAAGAGAAGCTCTCTCAACCTTTCCTCGTAAGACCTTCCCTCCATTCCAGGCAACATCCTGGCGAATCTCGTCTGCACCTTTTACAAAGCTTCCACATCTTTCTTGTAATGAGGCGACCTGAACTGGACACAATACTCCAGATATGGCCGAACCAGGTTTTTGTATAGCTGGAGCATGCCTTCATGGCTCTTCAACTCAATCCCACTATTAATGAAAGCTAACACACCACACGCCTTCTTAACAACTCCATCCACCTGGGTGGCAGCTTTCAGGGAACTGTGGACATGAACCCCAAGATCCCTCTGCTCCTCCACACTGCTAAGAATATTTCCGTTAAACCTGTATTCTGCTTTCAAGTTTGTCCTTCCAAAATGAATCACCTCACACTTCTCAGGGTTAAACTCCATCTGTCACTTCTCAACCCAGCACTGCATCCTATCAATGTCCCTTTGTAACCTAGAACAGCCCTCTGCACTATCCACAACTCGATCCACCTTCGTATTGTCCGTGAACTTACTAATCCACCCTTCCACTCCTACATCCAAATCATTTACAAAAATCACAAATAGAAGACGACCCAGAACAGATCCTTGTGGTACACCACTCGTAACTGAGCACCATGTTGAATATTTTCTGTCCACTACCACCCTTTGTCTTCTAAGGGTCAGCCAATTCTGAATCCAATCTGCCACATTTCCCCCTATCCCATGCCTCCTTACTGTCTGCATGAGCCTACCATGGGGAACGTTATCAAACGTCTTACTTAAATCCATGTATACCACATCCTCTGCTCTACCTTCATCAACGTATTTGGTCACCTCTTCAAAGAATTCAATAAGGTTTGTGAGGCATGATCTACCCCTCACAAATCCATGTTGACTATCACGAATCAAACTGTGCCTTTCCAAGTGATCATAAATCCTATCTCTCAGAGCCTTTCCAATAATTTGCCCACCACTGCTGTAAGACTAACTGGCCTGTAATTTCCAGGGTTATCCCTATTCCCTTTTTTGAACAAGGGAATGACGTTTGCCTCTCTCCAATCTTCCAGCACTATACCCGTGGACAGTGAGGACGAAAAGATCATCGGCAAAGACCCTGCGATCTCTTCCCTCCCTTCCCATAGAATCCTTGGATAAATCCCATCAGGCCCGGGGCACTTATCTATTTTCAAGTTCCTCAAAATTCCTAGTACATCTTCCTTACTAACACTGACCTCCTCTAGCCTACCAGCTTGTTTCACAACGTCCTCCTCTACAACTATGTCCCTCTGAGTTGTGAATACTGAAGAAAAGTATTCATTAAGGACCTCTGCTCTCTCTTTAGGCTCTGTGCACAAATCCCTTTACAACCCTTGATTGGCCCTACCCTTTCTCTGGTCATTCTCTTATTCCTCACGTATGTGTAAAAAGCCTTGGAGTTTTCCTTGATCCTATCTGCCAAGGTTTTCTTATAGCTCTCCTAAGCCCTTTCTTCAGCTCCTTCCTGGCTAACTTGTATCCCTCTAGAGCCTTTTCCGTTCCTTGTTTCCTAAACCTTATATAAGCATCCTTCTTCCTGTTAATCAGTCGTTCGACCTCTCGAGAACCGAGGCTCCCTCACTCGACCGCATCTTCCCTGCCTGCTCGGGACAAATATATCGAGCACACACAGTATGCATTCCTTAAACAATCTCCACATTTCAATAGTGCTCTTCCCTGACAGCATCTGTTCCCATTTTATGTTACCCAGTTCTTGCCTAGATGTTTGGAATGTTAATCGTATGTTTTCATTGCAAAGAAATATCACTGTTTCTTTTCTTCATAATTCTATGTTCAAACTCTGAGTTTCTACAAAGTAAATCAATTTGTTTGAAAAAAAAAGACAGCTTCTTATTTTACATTGCCTCTCCTTTTGTAAAGTTTCCCTGACACTGTCCCCCTTCATTTGAACTGGAAGGAACTTTCTAACAGAGGAAACAACTTCTCAGCAATGACAGGGCCAGCTGCAGCACTGAAGAAGTTACCTCAAATCCTGACATTTATGCAGAACAGATACCAGCCGCTGGAGTCCTTCACACTGAATGAAGCAAGCAAATAGATCGAGCTGTTTTAATGTATCACAGAATCCAATCACATGAGACAGGATCGCACAGTCAATCTGGGTTAGTTTCAGATCACTAAATGCAAATGTTTGCACAGATCCCACTGTGGCCTGAGCCACTGCTTTACTCTGAGACTCAAACAGATAGTGCAGACAGCTCACAATGCTCCCTTCGCCAGGTTCATACCACGCATCCCATATCTCTCTCTTAGTTACTTCCGTCAACCAGTCAATCACTCGGCAGGTTGTTTGATGAGGAAATGGACCCAAAAATTCCTCCAGGGGCTGAGCTGCCTGTGGGGAGGTGAGGCCAGTGATAAAATGGAGAAATAGCTCAAAGCGTCCATCTCTTTTTCTCTGAACTTCATTAAGGAGTTTCTGGATGTCCATGGGATCTGGAATCAGGAACTGTGCGAGGGCAGCCATAAACTCTTGGATGGTGAGATGTGGGAATGTGTAAACCACACTCTGGACTGAGTCATCTCTCTCCAAAACTTCCATCATGAACCCGGACAGGAACTGGGAAGGTTGCAGATTATACTGGATCAAATCTCCATTTCTGAAAACAATCTTCTTCTCAGAGACTCCTGTGAAGGCCAGCTCACCAAGCTTCAGTAATACATCATGGGGGTTTTCAATCTCTCGGCTATGGTGTTTCAGAATGTTGTAAATGTAGTAGGAATATAGTTGGGTGATTGTCTTGGGAACTTGCTGCTGTTTCCAGTCTCCGTATGTGAAGAAGGGACCCAGTGACAGACAAAGGATCCAGCAAAACGAAGGGTTGTAGCTCATTGTGTACAGGATGTCGTTCTCATTCACGTGTTTGTAAACAGCTGCTGCCACCGTCTGATCTTCAAAAAACTTGTTGAAATATTCCTTCCGTTCATCAGCAAGAAATCCCAGGATTTCTGCACTGACACTGATCTCAGCCTTTTCCAATAAATGTAACGTTGCGGGGCGGCTGGTCACTAGCACTGAGCACCCTGGGAGCAGCTTGTGCTGGATTAAACTGCACACAATGTCAGACACTTCACACCAGCATTCGGGATCCGTGCACATGGACCGAGGATCTCTATTTCTCCGATTGTCAGAAAAATCAATACTGTCCTTGAATTCATCCAAACCATCAAATATAAACAGCAGTCCCTCTGGGTTCTTCCACAGCTTTCCTAGAACATTCCCAAAGTAAGGATACTGATCCAGTATCAGATTCCGCAGGTTTATCCTACACTGAATAGTGTTCAAATACCGGAATTTAAAACTGAAAACAAATTGAAACTGAGGGTATATTTTCCCAATGGCCCAGTCAAAAACAATCTTCTGTACCATTGTTGTTTTTCCAATCCCTGGGACTCCGCCCACTGCCACTGAACTCCCAGATTTGGAATGTCGAAAGAATCTCTTAATTTTCCACAATGAACCATGTCTCTTGCAAAAGCCACTCCGGAACAACTGATCAATCTGGATTTTTTGCAGCTCTTTCTGGAAGTGTTTCTCTCTCCACTTCTCATGGTCTCGACCTCTTGCCAGCAGTTCATGTTCATATTCAAGTTTCTGATCCTGAGCAGTGGAAATAACCGTTAGCTCAGTGTATCGATCAGCCAGTGGGAAAATCTTCTCCTTTACTAGGACAGTGTTCACTCTCAGTGCTTCAGTTTGGACACGGAGGATCTTCTTGTGTTTCTGCTGAACATCTTCAATCAGAAAAGACAAAGTGGGTCTCAATGTTAGCTTTATCGATATAATAACAATTTCTCAAGACCTTTTTTGTACTCAGAAAAATGTTGCAGAAATGAATTCATACTTCAAACAAAGCCATGCATTGATTTTAAAACTTAGTTCTTGTAAACCTCATGTGGAAGTTAACACTGGTGAAGAAAACTTTAAATCTTGACAATTCAAATAGTCACTCAACATGGTCATTTATATGATAGTTCCTCTCCAATTGTTAATGCTATGTGGCCTGTGATGTCCTGCAACCAACTCATCGAAAATCCTCAAATTATCCAGCAATAAAAATTTTACTAGATCAAGTTTTTAAACAGAGTGAACTAAACATCTGCAGATTTGGGAAACATGTGAATGAGTATCATTGGAAGGGCAATTATGCCATATATAATCCAAGGAGTTCCAACATTAGTCTATCAAATCTTTGGCAGGTCATCTGGTGTATGGCCTGCGCTGAGAGAATGCCCGATTACGTTTAGACATTTTATCTATGGCTGAACTGGGTTAAGGAGACAACTGTGCTGGACATACTTTTTTCATCAGTATCCTATTTGATCCTGAACTGAACCTCCAACCTTGTATCCTCTCCAAAACTGTTTGGGAACTTGCTTTCCTGGCATGTTTGGGGGAGTCCTTTTTGTCATCTTCTGTGAAGGCAGAACAAGAGTGACTGTTTAATTGCTCTGCCATTTCCCTGTTCTCCATTACAAATTCTCCCATTTCAGATTGTAACATGCCTACACTTATCTTCACTAATCATTTTCCTTTTTTAATTGTATAAAAGCTCTTAAAGTCTGCTTTTATGTTCCTTGCAAATTTACTCTCATACTCTATTATTTCTCTTAATCAACGTATTGGTCCTTCTTTGCTGATTTTTAAACTGCTCCCATTCCTCAGGCTTGCTACTAGTTCTAGAAACTTTATGAGACACCTCTTTGGATTTAATATTATCATTAATTTCTTTTGTTAGCCATGGTTAGCATAGTTATCCTATTGAGTTATTTCACCCACAGGAATGTTTAACGGTTGAAATGTAATGATGCATTTATTTGTTTAATATTAACCATTACCTATCTACTGTCATGTCTGCACCCAAGCTGTTTCCTCAACACGCTGGTCTAAAAATCCATCTTGAGCACATTCCAGGAATTTATCTGCAAGTAACATTGCCACTGAGTTACTAATAGTGGCATGTATCAGGACCCTGCCAAGTGTGTGCGGGGTTTCCCGGAGGATCAGTGACAAAGTCTTAAATAAATGGTTCACAGTCAAACAGTTTGATTCTCATCAGTGAAATAAATAGTTTGCAATCTCCAGTTCATCTCTTACCCTTAAGGTGAATGGCTACTTTGGATGAATATCGCCCAACATTGACACAATTAAATGGATCTGAACCTGTTTAAAGCAATGGTATTTTGTGAAATCACTGCTGTGTACGACTGAAAAATTTGCAGTAAGTGAACTGGAAATTGATTTTACCATACCAAGATGTTCCATTTCTTTAAGTATTTCATCCAACTTTGGGACCCCATGGCGCAACTTAACAAGGGATTGCCACATCACTCTCTGAGCCTGAGAGCCTTTCTCCATCACCAGATTTAGGAGAAGTTTGGAACTGTCGGCCCGGTTTCCTTTCTCCACGAGCTCAATGACTTTCTGTCAAGAACACACATGAACATATGGATGAGTGCAGTGAAAGTTAAACAATGATCTGTACCAGTGACGTAATAAATTTGGATTTCTGAAAGACATTCAATAAGGTATACACACCCAAGGCTAATTAATGAGATTAGTTTCTCAAGTGAACCTTCCTCAGCTTAAACTCGCGAGGGTTGGAAGGCCAGACAGGTTGGAGGTGGAAGGCCCGGCCACCTCTGTAGTGTCCTGAGAGGAGACCTCTGAGGGGTGTGTGTCTGTACGTGCATGTCTGTGTGTGTATCTCCTCCCACTGCATGGGTCTGCTGTAGACATAGTGATTGCTATGGTTATTAAAAACAAACCAATTTTCCCTGCACTGTGCAACTGCCAAAGTGCGAGACCGTTGGTAGGCAGCAAGTTCTTTGTTATTATTCAGTCAATTCCGTGATGTCCGAATAAACTAATCCATTTGGAATTCCTTCTACTTACATCATATTCCTGTCCAGTGAAATTGGCTTCATCTGCTAATGTGAGACTGAGCCCCTCCAACATTTCTTCAATCGCCTCTGCTAATCTGATACTGTAGAATTTTGTCAACTGGAATAACCAATAATCGTCACACGTTGTCAAGAGTTTAGTGGTTGTCAGGTTTGGATCTGTGAACAAAAACAGACACCAAACAGGTTGGTGATTTTCCATTGCCTGTTACACCAACAACTGAATCCCCCATGCACCAAGCCGTTAAACACCATCTGAAAAGGCATACACAATGCACATGCTAGATTTCATTGATCAACTGTTAAAAACACATGCAGAGGTGGTTAAACATGAGCTATCCTCAGTTCACTGAGCTTTTTCTTAAATTTATGAAAGAACATGAATTCAAATGTGAAAAAATACAATTTCTAGTTTATTCTCAATGCAGTCTCCCCTCTCCACTGATTTTGTAATGTTATGTGGCCTTCAAATTCCATCAAGAAATGAACTGTTTTTAAACTGTGTTTAGGTTTGATTTCGATATAATTTCCTAGAACATCTTTGTATTCCTGAACTCATTTTTCTTGGGCTGCTGCAAGCCTTTTATTAATAATGACATCAATAATTTTTTATACTTTTGAAATGTTAACACAATTATTTCAATTCAGGTCCCAAGCAAAATGTTAGTTAGGCTGTGGCTGGAGTACGGTGCGCTGTTCTGGTCACACTTTAGAAAGGATGTGATTGTACTAGAGAGGGCGCAGAGGAGATTCACCAGGATGTTGCCTGGGCTGGAGCATTTCAGCTGTGAAGACAGACTATCTCATCTAAAGCATAGTCAGCCGAGCCGGAGAGATGGCATGATTCAGATGAACAAATTATGAGGAGTGTAGGTAATGTAAATAGGATGAAACACTTTCCCTTAGCAAAAGGGTCAATGATGAAGATGTGGGAGTTGGGAAAAGGTAGATTTGAGATAAGGGGCAGGAGTTCAGAGGACGTTTGATTTTTTTTTCATCCAGAAGGTTGGGGCTGGTGACATCTGGAACGTACTGCCTGAAAGGGTTGCAGAGAAGGCGAACATCACAACATTTATAAAGTATTTACATGGATATCTGAAATGCCACAGCATACAAGGCTGTGGGCCAAATGCTGGAAATGGGATTAACTAGATAGGTGGTTGATGACCAGCACAGACAAGTTGGGCCAAAGGACATCAGTGTGCTGTAATTATTTTTAAATTTAATCTATTTTTCCCAATCAACCTGTTCAACAATGTTATTACACACAGCTGAAGCAGATGGGACTGGAACACAGGCCTCCTGGTCCATGAGTAGGGACTCTACCACTCCTCCACAAGAGGGCCTTACTGTGCTGTATACTCCATTACTCAAACCAGAGCCTTGTTTCACAGCTAATTATTCACAGCACACAGAAGGCCAAATGGAGAAGCACAGGAACACCATCATCGCTAATTTCCCCTCCAAGTGACAGGGTCTCACCACACAGATGGCACAGTAGCTGTGATTAGAGCCAGGGACCCAGGTTTGATTCCAGCCTCACGTGACTGTCTGTGTGAAGTCTGCACATTCTCCCCATGTCTACGTGTGTTTCCACTGGGCGCTCTGGGTTCCAAAGATGTGCAGGTAAGGTGGACTAGCCATGGCAAATGTGGGGCGATGGGGATGGGGTGGGTCTGGATGGGATGCTCTTTGGATGGTCAGTGCAGACCGGATGTAGGGATTCTATGAATCTATTTTGTGGATGTGAGTCACTGCTCCAGTGAGACTTCATGCCCATCTGTATCTATTCCAGTGTTGCTATTCTGCTTTTCATCTTAAATCTGGATATTTCCCACTCTCCAGTCACATCAGCGACACCTTTCACATTGCTCCATTCACCAATTCTGTAAAACCATTGCTATTTGTGGGTGCAGCTGTCCCTAGCCTTGCCCCTGGACTCAGCTTTACTAGACCAAGGTCTTACCTTGGAGCAGCTCATTTAGGAGTTTGATGAGAAGAGTCGTGAACGAAAGCTCACTCATCATCAGCGAGAATGGTGATTGAAAGCCTCTGCCTGCCCATAGTTCAAATTAAAAAGTGCAAAGAACATCTTAATCATGTAGGGCATCTCAAATGTCGTTATTCAGTCCAGTTGCTAATCCATATTTCTGTTAAGTCTGGGATTGATGACATTTTGGTCTCTTGGGCCATCAAGTCGTGTGTGTGTGTGTGTGTGTGTGTGTGTGTGTGTGTGTGTGTGTGTGTG